AGTGTCCGCCTGAGTTTGCCTCTGGTGTACTCGTTCGTCGCCGCCGCTCTCCTCCTTCGTCATCGTCGCCCATCGTTCGCCATCCATATAGAAATCTCGTCCGTCGCTGCGACAGACTCGCAAGCATCGACGGGCGTGGCCTTCTTCCCCGCTGGGTCAACGCGCAGATGCTTCCCGCCCAGCTCGGAACCCGACCGCAGCTCCTCTCCAAACTTTACGTCCTGGCGCCAAACAGCTCGGGCGATGCCCTTTATCGGGCTGCATTTGGAGCAGAGGCTGTTGGGGGAGATCCGACGCGGCGAATTCCGAGCAATCCGAGCGGCCTCCTTCATCATTTCCCCTGCGAAGTCCAGGGCCAGGGGGGGGGGGGGGCTGGTCAAAATCAACCGCGCCCGAGATTATCTTGGGGAGCTCGTGGCACTTCGGGCGGGTGGGAACTTCATTGGGGATGCTTTGGCAATGCTCCCCTAACTGAGAAACCCGATTGCTCGAGAAAGATATTGCAACCAGGGCATGGTTGCTGATGCCCTCTTGGAACATCACCTCAGCGAGCTTCCGCGCCTCTCCTGGCGCGACCAACTGGGTGATGATCCAGCCCTGGAAGCTGGCGAATATCCGATCCAACGCGGAAAGCAGCGCGTGCTTTTCACAGAAATGCGTCGGGCCAGGACCTTGCATTTCAGACGTGGGTCCAAGGGCCCCCATAAAAATCTTGTTCTGACCTTTTACAGATTCCTTGGCAACGCTGAGCTGTCACGGCCCCTGGTCCTCTGGGCCCCCGTGGATAGTCTCTGGTCTCCTGACGCCCTCTGCGCGCGGCAGCTGGTCGGCGAAATTAGGAGGCGCCAACCACAACTACAAGCGCGATGTCGCGGGAGGCCTTCGGGTTCGGAGCATCGGTCTTGATGCACTCAGCGATCATTTTCTTCTGGTCAGCCGCGAGGCCGAAGTTGCGGGCATTATAGTCGCTCCTCCATTCTCCCCCGGAACATTCAATTCACACATTGAGGGCCATTCCCTGGAACAAAACTCTGGAGCCACAAGCTGGTGTCCGGCCGCCGCCGAAAACTTCGGGAAGGAAGTAGCCGCTCCCCCAGCGTGTGGCGTGCTACTGAAGCTCACCGAGGCAGGGAAATCCTTGTGCGCGTGGCATAATTACTCGCGCACTTGCATGTCCGGCCCGCGTGTTTTTTGAACCGGCAAAACCGTCCCAGGAGTAAGGAGACACCAAAGAAACCGAGTCTTCCAATCCCGAATCGAAGGCTCGCGATGAAAACGAGCTCTTGCATTCCACGCGGTCAGACAGAGTTCCCACTGCTCCTGGCCCCGCCAGCAGGCGAGGAGCGGGTTGAAGACTCCACGTGACTGAGGCGTTCGGGCGGGCAAAACCACGAGCGAGGCACGAGCGGATCTACCTTGTCGAGGTCGAAACCCTGGGCCCGAATGTTCTCCGTCGCGAACTGGCTCTGCGGCTCCGGATCTCCTGGGCGAGGCTGAATCTTAAGGGAACCCAATTAATACTGCGTTATCCTTTCTGCTTGTCTCCGAATGTGCGGGCCTGGGGCTGCGCGCTGCAGAGAACCGCGCGCGCCTTCCTGGGGTAGATCTCACGATTGACAATCTCTGCGCTTTTGCCGCCAGAAACATAAATATCATGCCGTGTTCCATCGACGTCGACTGCCTCGAATTTATCGTAGCTTCCATGTCCATTCTTGAGACTGCCGAGCAGCTGCTCCACCTTCCGAGCTGCATGTGCGGATGCGCCCAGAACTCTGACCGTGTAGCACTTTCCAATGGGATCTCCATCGGTGTGAATGTCGGCGGGGGTGATGCTGTTCTGCTCCAACCATGGACCCAGTGCTCTAAATGCGCCATTATTTGCCAGCGGGCCTTTTTTAACCGTATGGCCAGAATCGTGGGGTCGATCTCCCTGTTGAAGGCTGGTTCCCGCGGCGGGGGTACAGGCCGCTTTCCCTTGATGTCGCCGAGCTGCTGTCTGACCCTTGCAATGTGTTGCTGAAACTTCTGAATGTCCGATGTGTGTGTGTCCTGCCACCGTCGATTCAACACCTGAAACCCTTCTCTCGATAATAGACGGAACATGTCCAATTGTTTGTGACGGTCGATCCGAACGTGGCGATCTGCGAAGACACGGTGCTGATCTGATGCTGCAGGGCGGCCGCGGCGCCTTCCATCGCCTGCTTCGTGCTCTCCGCGCACGGTCTGAGCTCGGCATCGGGGTGTCCTGTGCGGGATGATTTGACCCGCCTAATGCCAGGCTCGTCATCAGGGAAAGTAGCAGCATCTTCCATCGCCTCGGCGAGCTGCCACTGGGTGTGCGCTCCAGTTGTAAGCGCCATGGAGACTGGGGAGAGGACTCGAGCGCGGCCTACGGAAGGGCCGCAACGCTAATCGCTGCTGCTCGGGCGCCGATATCCCTTCACAACTTTTAGCCCTGAGCCAAAATGGCTACGGACCTCCTCCTCCTCCTCCTCCTCCTCCACAGCCCCCGAAGCGCCCTCAGAATCTTGGGGGTGGACGGGCCGAGAAGACGCGGCAACGACCCCACGAGGGGTGCCACGAGGACCTGCGGGGCATCCCGAGACGCCGCCCTGGGCAGCTCTGCCCCACGACCACGCCGGCGGTCTCAAACCCGCGCAGGGCGGCCAGAAGGGAGGGCCGCAAAGGGGTCTCACCAGCACCCCCGAGACACACTCGTGGAGTGTTTCCTGGTGGGGGTGGCAAGGAAGTGATGCCGTGGGAGCTCGGGGCAAGCGATGACATGCGACTTCGGAACAATGGGCTTCTCTCACCTCACCCATTACACTCTCTTGCTCTCGCTCTCGCGGTCGCTCTCTCTCTCTCTCTCGTTATCTTTCTCTCTCACTCTCTCTCCCTATCCGCGGCTGCGGGGGCTGTCAACGATAGTCAGCACGATAAATGTCCACCTGAACCCTCGGCTGCGGGCCACGCCACATCATGTGTCGACCATTGTCCACCTGCTCCTCCATGTAACTTTTGAACTGCAAGCGGCCCAAGAGGACTGCACAAGCCGGGCCCCAGATGGCCCATTACCGCTCCAATATGCCCCTAGAGGGCTCCCAGGCAGCCTGAAGAGAACTCTAGAGGGCCCCCAAACGCCTCCAGGGAGGGTCCCAAGGGGACCGATCTGGAACAACACAAGCAACACGAGACTACATCTTGTTCGGTGGCAAATCATGGGAACCGAGTGTGACCCCTGAATTCCGCCTTTAGCATCGATTAGCGTCTGGAAGTCGTGAAATAGCGCTGGCTTAGCATCGGTTAACGTCGATGTAGCGTAGGTTAGCGTCGGTTTAGCGTCGATTAGCGTCAAGATGGTATGGGAAGCTCCCATGAGACGGCCCCCAGAGGGGGCCAAGGGCCGTCGAAGAGGGCCCCAGAGGCAGACCGAGAGGGGTCCAAGACGGCCAAGAGGTGGACGCAAGCTGGTGCCAGGACGGCCAAAAGAGGCCCCCAAGACGGCCAGGGAGGGTCCGAATTCACACCAGCCCTCTGAGCGCATGTGGTTTGGGGCATTTCCTCTTCCACATTCCCTCTTCCCCTTCGGGGAGGGGGTTTACCCCCTCCCCCTCCCCCCGGGTCTGGACGCGATGGACCGCGGGCAGTTGGAGCGTCCAAGGTGAGCAAAGGTGGCTGTGAGAGGGCATCGGGGAGCGCAATATGGCCTCCAAGATGGCTTAACATGAGGCGAGATCGATCAAGATGGCTTCCGACATGCTCCGAACGGTCCCAAGGCCGCTCCAAGACGGGTCTCAGTGGCTCTGGAGCCTCCCAAGAACGCCTCCAAGAGGCCGAGCTCCGGCGAACTGGAACATCAGTGGCCGTTGCCTTCTCGCCTGTTCGCGTACGATTATCTTCCGAGGGCTCACGGTGTCCAGGAGGGCTCAGGAGAGACCCAAGAGGTGTTCACAGGGCTCATCGACGGTCCAATGCCGCCCAAGAGAGCCCTGAGTGGCGATCCTCGAGGTTCCAGAAGGGGCAGTGCTGCTAAGGTGGCCCTCCCTCAATTGGTCGAGGTCTTCAAAGATAGACCCAAGTGGACTCAAGAGAGCCCCAAGGGGCACCCAAGAGCCCCCAGGAGGCCCCCAAGAGGCCCCCAACAAGCCCCCAAAAGACCCCCAAGCGGTCCCCAAGAGGCCCACCAGAGGCACCCAAGACGCACCAAGAGGCCTCAGGACCGCCAAGCTGTTTGGCCCCAGGTGGCTGCACGAGGGCCCCAGAGCCCCAGAAGACCTCTAAGATCGTTCACTATATCCCAAGATGGTTCAAGATAGCCTCCAACGTGTTTCCAAGAAACCTCACGATCGCCCCAGGACGGCCACGAGTGCTCTCCGAGCCTCCCAAGTAGGCCCCCAGGAGGCCAAACATTATATGAAACCAGTGTGATGTTCAATGTTGTGTGCCTTCTTGCCGGTTCTCTTCTGATGGGTTCTCGAGGCCTCAAGACGGCTTCAAGATGGCCCACAATAGCCCCAAGAGGGGCCCAGGAGGACCCCAAGACTGCCTCAAGAGCGCCCTGGCTTCAACGGGGAAGGGAGGCTTACTTGACTACCCCTTGTTTAATCGATGGCTTCCAAGATGGCCTCAAGAGGGCACAAAGTGGGTCCCAAGAGAGCCTCAAGAGGACTCAACTATTCCAACATGGCTTCAAGATGACACCAACATGGCTCCAAGAGGCATTCAAGAAACACCCAGAGCGAAAGACCCGCAGGCAACGACATGTAACGACCCAACTACGACAACTACGAGGAGCCACGACGCGGACGCCACTCATCAAACGCACAAGAAGCCTGTGGCTGCGTTGGTTGAATGGTTGCCTGTCGTCGCTCTCTGGTCAGGGACACTCGACTGGTATCTGTTGTTGGATCAATGGCTGGTGAGGGCGGCAATAATTCATTCGTCGGGCAAGCGGGAGGCATGGACGGATTGTTCGGCGGGGTCCCCCCGCGAAGCGGTGCTTATCACGATAGGCCACGGTCATGCCGTGAATGTGTCCTAGCGCCAAGGTAATCTCAGCTGCATAGAACTTGGCACCGTCATTCTCAAACCTCTTGCCGCCTTGCAGAACCGAAAAGAGCTCGCCGCCATTGACAAACTCCATCAGCAAATAAAGGTTCGCATCATCCTGAAACGACCTGAAGAGCTTGACGATGAATGGGTGGTTCATCTGGCCGAGCAACTCCTTCTCTTGCCTCGTGTGAACTACCTGTTTTTTCTTCACGACCACAATCTTCGGCATGACCTTCAACGCGAACGGCGTGGGATCGTGCCCGTCCTTGAGCTTGACAAGGCGAACCGAACCCATGAAACCGTTACCCAGGGTCGTGACGATGTCGAAATCGCTGATCGCCATGGGTTGGACCTGCTTTGACTGCGCACTGACCACGTTGTGCTTCACCTTCCCGACACACCGAATGACGGGGCTGTGTTCGGCGGCTGCCAAGGCGACGCCCGGAAGGGAGAAGTCTGGCAGGCGGCCACACGGCGCGGAGCCAGGGGAGCCGCTGGGGGAGTCACCGCGGGAGCTGGCCTTGGTGTTCCCCCGCGAGAGGCCACCGCCGGAGCTTGCTCTCGTGCTCGGGCGCGAGTCAGCACCATCGCAGGACTTGTCCGTCGGGCTCATGCCGCTGCCGCTGTCGGCCCTGTCGTACACGGTGGAGCTCTTCGCTGCGCATGTCGACGAGCCCTTCGGGGCTTTCGGGTGCCAGGTTCGTCGGACGATGGCGTCGATCAGCGGCATGGTGGGATCTGAATCACCATGCTGACCCACGTTGGCACCGAGAAGTCTGCTGATTCGAGCCGAGGGGGCAGCGGGATTTCCTCCTCCTGCTCATCTCCTTTCCCTTCGTCCTCGCCGACGCCCTCCTCATCCTGCTTCACTTCCTCCTCTCCAAGATCTGGCTCAACAGGCTCCAAGGAACTCGGCATACAAGGCATCCCTCAAGCCGAACGTCGGCCACGCATGAGGCGTCAAGGACGTCTTTGTGCAGCTCGAACATATCCTTCTCATTGTCGTCTTCCTCATCGCCCGTCTGCTTTCCCCTCCTCCTTCTTGTCATCCATGTCAGCTTTTGCCTTTGCCCGTCCTTGACGTCGTCTTTCTGTTCTCCTGCTCATACTCCTGCCCGTCCCCCTCATCGTTTTCGGCTTCCTCGTCTTCATAACACTTCCTGAACAGGTGCGTTGATCAAATACGCTGATGCCGCGAATGTCTTGCACGTCGCGTGTCGTCCGTTGCGTTGGGAGCGGTAGAAGGGCTACTCAACGAGCAGTTCAAACATTAGGGCTACGACGAAAAAAAGACGGAGGACACCAAGGACGAGCAGGACCAGGAGGATGCCAAGCAGGCCAAGGAAAACCCAGGTGTCCAGACATCCAGGGCGACAGCGCTCCCCAAGCATGCCCGCGGAAACTGATGCACCAATGTTGGGAGGAAGAGGAGAAGGAGGAGGACCAGTGGAAACCCAAGAGTCATCAACGATCAACGATGATGGAATAAACCCTCCCTCCAAGGTCCCTCGCCATAGGCCCCTATAACGGCTCATTTCCACTGAAGGAACTGCCTCGTTGGAAGACAGCCGTTTAAAGACCCTGAAGCATGCCAAAACAATGATCTCGGGATTGCAACGCCACGGATGAACCAGACTGTTGCGTCTTTGACGATCTTGAATCGTGCCAGGACACCATTCCTGAGATTTCAGCACAACGAATCAACGTAGCTGTTGCGCCCTCATAGTCTTGAACCCTTCCAAAACACAACTTTTGGTACGCTGATCATGGGGATCCCAGAAACCCTTGCAATATCTTAAAAGGAATGTGCGCGGCGCAAAAGCGAGAACCACAATTTGAAAAGGAACCGCCCTCAATCCGTGAAGCTCTTCCAAATGTTTAAATCGAATGTGCGCGGCGCTAAAACGAGAGCCACATTTTGAAAACGACCCGCCCTCAATCTGTTAATCGAATGTGCACGGCGCTACGGCGAGAATCACATTTTGAAAACGACCCGCCCTCAATCCGTGAAACTTTCGTAAATTTTTGACACGAATGTGCGCGGCGCCAGAAGGAATACCACATTTTGAAAACCACCCGCCCTCAACCCGCAAAAATCTTCCAAGTTTCAAATCGAATGTGCGCGGCGCTAAGGCGAGAACCACAATTTGAAAACCACCCGCCCCCAACCCGTGAAAACCTTCCCATGTTTTAATTGAATGTGCGCGGCGCTACGGCGAGAATCACATTTTGAAAACGACCCGCCGCCAATCAGTGAAACTCCCGTAGATTTTGGAAAGAATTTGCGCGGCGCTGAAGCGAAAACCACAATTTGAAAACCACCCGCCCTCAATCCATGAAACTGTTCTCAATTTTCAAGCTTCAGGGTCATAAGTGATGAGGAAAGCTCAGGCGAAACGCCCAGCCCGCCCTAACAACTTGCCTCGGGGTGTGCCGGGGAGAAATCATTTATAAGGAGAAGGAATGGATGAGGATGAGGAGGAGGAGAAATTCGCCGGCCCAACGGGCCAGAGGAGTGCTAAGATCTCCGGTAACAAGTTAACAATATGATAGTTCGCGCGTGACGGACCCTGGGGGCCCTGGAGCGAAAAGTACCCCAGACAGCTCCCGGCAAACTCCCGTAAGAGATGCCGGATCTCTTGTGAACCGTCCAGGAGCGGCCCAATGAGTCGACAAATAAGTGTCAGGCCCTACGGCCGGAAGCCAACAGCGTCCCAAGGCGGACCAAGATGGCCTCACGATGGCCCTCGATGTCCCCAACACGCTCCCTCCAAGAGGCGTCCCAAGAGGCAAAAATCGTTGATTTTCCTTGGATGTTGGAGGTTTTCAGCCTTCTCGCCTTTTCGGCTTTCCGGCGCTCTAAGAGGACCCAGAAGGCCTCCAAGACAGCCCCAACACAGCCCAAGAGGCCCCAAAGATGGCCCCACGATGGCCCAAGATGGCTCCAAGACGGCCCCAAGAGGCGGCCACACGGGCCAAAAAACGCCCCAAGACGGGCCAAAGAGGGACCGGAGACGCCCCACAATCGCCCAAAGCCGCCCAAGATGGCCTCAAGACGGCCCAAGAGGCCGCCAAGAGGCTTCCAAGAGGCCTTCCAAGAGGCCTCCCAAGATGTCCCCACGAGACAAAGTATCACTGATGTTCCTTAGATTTGGGAGGTGTTCAGCCTTCTCGCCTTCTCAACTTTCCGACACTCCACGAGGGCCCAAGAGGCCTCCAAGACCGCCCCAAGAGGGCTCAAGACGGCCCAAGAGGGCCCCGAGACGACCCAAGAGGCACACAAGAAGGCCCACGAACGCCCCACGACGAGATCAAGTGGGGCCCACGAGGGGCACGAGACACCTACAGATCGCCCCAAACCGCGCAAGATGGCCCCAAGACGGCACAAGAGGCCTCCAAGACGGCACAAGAAGTTTCCAAGAGGTCCCCCAAGAGGGCCCTGGGAGACAAACAACAGAGGTGGTTTTTGGCCGTCTCGCCCTTCCGGCTTTCCGACATCTGAGAGCCCCAGAGGCCTCCAAGAACGCCTCAAGACCGCCCAAGAGGCCCCCAAGAGGGCCCCAAAAGGGCCCCAAGACGGCCCACGAGGGCCCTAAGATGGCCAACGAGGCGCACAAGAGACTCCAAGAACGCCCCACGACGGCCCCAAGTGGGGCCCATGAGGGAAACCACGAACCTGCAATTCGAGCTTTCCGCCCCGAGAGGGGCCCAGGAGGCCCCAAGAGCGCCCCAAGAGGCCCCATCAGGCCCCCGAGAGATCCCCAAGAAGCCCCTGAGAGGCCCCTGGAGGCCACGAACACGCAAGCAAACGCCGGGCTGGCGGAATGAGTGAAGCGATGAAATAAGATGCGAAGAAGGAGAGGAGGAGGAGGAGGATGATGAGGAGGAGGAGGAGGAGGAGAAGGACCAGTGGAAACCCAAGAGTCAACAACGATGTTTGGATAAACCCTCCTTCCAAGCTCCCTCTTCACAGGCCCCTGCAACGGTTCATTTCCACTCAGGGAACTGTCTTCTTGGAATAAAGCCGTTTGGAAATCCAGAAGCATGCCAGAACATTGTTGTCAGGATTTCAACGCCACGGATCAACCTGACTATTGCGTCTTGACAGTCTTGAATTGCGCCAGAACGCCATTCCTGGGGTTTCAACACCGCGAATCAGCGTAACTGTTGCAACACATAATCCTGAACCTGAACCCTTCGAAAACACCATCTCTAGTTTGTTGATAATGGGAAGAAATGGAACTCTTTCAACATTCAAGAAACGAATGTGCGCGGCCACATTTTGAAAACGACCCGCCCTCAATCCGTAAAGTTCTCGCATCTTTGTAAAACGAGTATGCGCGGCGCTAAGGCGAGAGCCACATTCTGCAAAACGACCCGCCTCAATCCATGAATCTCTTGCAACATTTCTAACTACAATAAACGAATGTTCGCGGCGCTAGAACGAGATCCACATTTTGAAAGCCACCCGCCCTCAATCCGTGAATCTCTTCCGAATCTTTAGATCGAATGTGCGCGGCGCTACGGCGAGAGCCACACTGTGAAAGCCAACCGCCCTCAATCCGTGAAACTCTTCCAAATTGTGAAAACGAATGTGCGCGGCGCTACGGCGATAGCTACATTTTGAAAACGACCCGCCCTCAATCCGTGAAGCTCATTATTTTTTCAAAATATAATAGCGCGGCGCTGAGGCGAGTACCACATTTTGAAAACCACCCGCCCTCCATCTTGAAGCTGTTGTCAATCTCAAGCTTCAAAGTCATAGATGGTGCGGAAGTCTCCTGCAGAACGCCCGGACCGTCACAAAAACTGGCCCCGGGGTGCGACAGGGGGAAACTATTGATAAGGAAAAGGATTGGAGGACGAGGAGAGGAGGAGAAGGAGGAGGAAGAGGAGGAGGAGGGGGAGGAGAACGAGGAGGAGGAGGAGGAGGAGGAGGAAGAGGAGGAGGAGAAGGAAGAGGAGGAGGAGGACACCATAGTTCCATCACCTCCTCCACGACCAGGCGCCCGCATACTTCACGCTCTTGCGGGCTCATGTTGCCGCAATCTCACAGATGGTTATGATTTTCCTGCCGAGCTCACCGATGTCTACTTTGCCGCCGTCCTGCCACACGACGCTGCGATCCTGGCCGAGCGACTTTCGCCGAGCACACTCGAAATAACATCGCAGCTGCTGCGCGGGGCCTGACCTGCGCGGGCCAGAAACGCCCGCCCGGAGGGCGGACAGCCAACCGGCAGCCCTGCCAGCAGCCGACCGAGGCCACAGAGATGGCGGCCCTTGCCCCGCAGATGGCCCAGAGCCGGGGGCCTCTCTGATGCACCCGAACAACAGATTCCAACATACTCAGGGCCGCTGCTCTGGACGCAGATCGCTGGGGGCCTCCCGTATGAAATCCGGACAGACGGGGTCAGACAAGCGCGCAGCATCGACGAAGCAGTGCGTCGGCGATGCCTCGCCGCAATCGGCGCGGCGAAAACGCGGCCAGCCGCCGCCGCACGGGGCCGCGCCGGCGCGAGCCTCGGCGCGGGCCCCCGGGCGCCGCGCGGGGGCCGCGCGGCCGTCGGTCCCGCCTCGCGCGCCGTCGGTCCATGTCGAGTCCGCGTCGGACGACGTTGACTCCGTGTCGAAGCCGTGCCGGAACTGACCCGGAGCCGCGGCGAAGCCGCGCCGAAACCACGGCAGAGTTCAGAAAAGGGCGGCCATCTACACGACGGGAGAGGCCCCCCGGAGGTGCTCCGCGTGGGGCGGCAGGGTCGCGGGACGTGGC